TAGTGCTTCAATTTCATCCATTGTTATTGGCCTATTCAGGTTTTCTGATTCTTCCTGATTCAGTTTTAGGAGATTGTATTTTTCTAGGAATTTGTCCATTTCATCCACATTGTCCAGCTGTGGCATATAGTTGTTGATAGTATTTTCTTACAATCCTTTGTATTCTGTGGTGTCAGTTGTTACTTCACCACTTTCATTTCTGATTTTATTTATTTGGGTCCTCTCTCTTTGCTTTTTGATGAGTGTGGCTAATGGTTCATCAATCTTGTTTATCTTTTCAAAGAACCAGCTCTTGGTTTTATTGATTTTTTGTATTTTTTTTAGTCTCTATGTCATTTATTTCTGCTCTGATTTTTATTACTTCCTTCCTTCTACTTACTCTTGGATTTTCTTGGTGTTCTCGTTCTAATTCTTTAAGTTGTTGGGTTAAATATTTTATTATTTTTTGTTTTTTGTTTTTTGAGGTAGGCCGGTAGTGCTATGAACTTCCCTCTCAGGATTGCTTTTGCTGTGTCCAGAGATTTGCATTGTTGTGTGTTCATTTTCATTTGTTTCCAGGAAGTTTTTTATTTCTTTCTTGATCTCTTTGGTAACTCATTCATTGTTTAATTACATGCTATTTAGCCTCCATGTGTTTGAATGTTTTTGAGTGTTTTTACTGTAGTTGATTTCTAATTTCTTTCTATTGTGGTTTGATATGATACTTGATATTATTTCAATCTTCTTGAACTTGTAGAGACTTAGTTTGTGTCCTGAACTGTGATCTATCTTTGAGAATGCCCCATGTGTGAGAAGAATGTATATTCTACAGCTTTGGGGTGAAATGATTTATAAATATCAATTAAATCCATCTGATCCAGTGTATCATTTAGAGTCACAGTTTCCTTGTTAATTTTTTGTCTGGAAGATCTATCCAGTGCAGTCAGAGGGATGTTAAATTCCCCTACTATGACTGTATTGTTGTTGATCTCTGCCTTCAAGTCCTCTAGAAATTTTTTTATATATTTAGGTACTCCTATATTGGGTGCATACATGTTTACCAGCATTATATCTTCTTATTGGATCAATCCCTTTAGTATTATGTAGTGATCTTTGTTGTCTCTAGTGATAGCCTTCATTTTGAAGTCTATTTTGTCAGATATGAGTGTTACCATCACAGCTTTTTTTCGTTTCCATTTGCATGGAAAAAAATTTTTTTATCCCTCCACTCTCATCCTGTGCGAGTCTTTTCTTCTGAGGTGGGTCTCTTGTACACAGGCTATATTTGGATCATGTATTTGTATCCATTCAGCTAACCTATGTCTTTTGATTAGAGAATTTAGTCCTTTTACATTTAACATTATTATTGATAGGTACTTATTTATTACCATTTTAATTTTGTATGACTATGTTTCTCTCTCTATTCTTCTTCATTACAGCAGTCCCTTTAGCATTTCTTGTAGTGCTGGTTTGGTGGTGATAAATTCCTCTAGCATTATTTTTTTTTTTTTTTTTTGTCTAGGAAGCTTCTTTTCTTTAACCATCTAATTTGAATGATAGCCTTGGTGGATATAGTAATCTTGGTTTCAGAATCATTGCTTTTCAT